TTCTTACTGAATGAAACTGAAGATGATGAAAGCATCTTCTGCCTATTATATGTATATACGAAATATGCTTATTATTAAATTAGCGTAAGATCATGCAATCAGCCGCGTTTTATCAAATGACCTAACTAATGAAGGCCTACTACGAATGTGTAAGATACAAATAATAAAGAGAGAACGTTCCTTCCATAATGTAGTCTAGATATAATAAACTGCGAGAAAATATTAAAGTTAAAGCTAGTAAGCTTGAGAAACCTACAATTACGAAATTGCATATTTATTATTCGTGAAGTGCAATGAAGGCAAACATCATAGTGGACAAAACATATGTCGCATAAAACCACTTCGTACAAAATTTACAAAATGCATATGAAATTACAATTACAAAATTACATACAAGATTGGTGGGGTGCATGTGTGTATATAAGCCTGATTAGAGTTGCTCGTGAGGTTCAACGTTTCTGATCTTCTCTACGTTAAACTGTTCGAAGTTCTCCCATGGCTTTTCCCACAGTTCAACTTTGTACAGCTAAACATCAAACTTACACATCGTGGATATGATCTTAGATGGGAAATTCAACTGACCGCTCTATTTCCTCCTTGTTTCAGCTCACAATTGGCTGCAGAAAGTTCAGTTGCGGAGACATGCTAGAAAGAAACATGAATGAGCATGTAAATGCATACGATTTTATCCTAGATTGCCTGTCAAAAAGAAATGTGATGGACGACAATAATTAAAAACCACAAAATGCTCTTATCTTCAAAAAGATTCTGGAAAAAGATCAATACTATCCCTGTTTTAAGATAAGTTATGTATTATAATGTAAAACGTACTCCTTTCTTACATGTCGACTCGCCGAAGAGTACTTCGAAGACATATCGAATTCCAGCAACAACTTGGGATTCAGCTTTCAAAACCTATAAAGGTAAGAATCATAATAGAGGCAAGACAGAAGGATATAGGCCACAATAACAGTAATTTGCTTAAGATGTTGATAACCTCAACCTTCTATTTCACATCCCTATTTACTTTCATCATTCCTGCAGAAAATGTTGATAAGCCTTATCAGTGACGGAGCAAAGCCGGTCCGAGCAATGCGATTTCCATACGCTTTCAGCGAAACATTTTCATTACATACTTTTCAACCAAGTACGATTATTCGCTGCTTAATCCGCTCA